TGCAGGACGGCGATGGAGTCAGTAGCTTGGGCCATCTCTCGGGATGGTGAGGGTGTGTCCACCACCTCGACCCTAGCAGGAACAAATACTATTCCTATTGGACCGACATGTTTCCCGAAGCAGTGCCAGAACTGCTCGCTACATTGCTACCAACGGGAGCGGAGAATCCCAATGCCTGCCCCATCGTAGGCGGGACCTTTTCGGTCACCTTCTTATTCCGACACTTGAATTGGTTATGGCCATATTGGCCACAACGGATACAAGCCTGCTGCGTGTACCGATCTCTCCACACATCCTCACTGAGACCTGCTTTCTCCCATGGAGGAGCGTTGGGGCAACTTGACTCCTGGACCGGGAACCTCCTCGGTGTTTACCGGTTGCCTTACCTTTGAAGCCTCTACGCTGCCAGCCTCTGAACCTACTCCCGCCTGGAACTTGTCGTCCAACTCGATGGTAGAACCATCGTTGTCAACGAACATAATGTGGCCCTTCGCCTTCCAGTTGGAGGCAATGACTTCTTCCTACCATCCGTCGTGGGTGTTTGACCATGCCCTATCTTTGCGTCCAGGTCTAGGGCCTTCTTGCTAAAGGACGGGAAGTTGTGCATGTTGATGTTGGCCTCACCTGCCAACTGATTCCCGAGAGGCATTGGAAAGCATCTCAGGTAGGAGGTGAGTAGAACTTGGGGGTCATAGCGCACCCCAGGGACACAGATCAGACGCTCTACTCCGTCAAGGGCCTCCCTAACCGACTTAAACTGCCTAGTATGCAGAGTCAGGATCGCATCAGTGGCCTTTTGAGCCTCCTGAGGATCATGCCACCTGTCTTCCACCATCTTGAGGAATTCATCCAATTTCTGGTGGACTGCCCAAGCGAGGAAGTCATGACCGTATCCCTACAACTGCACTAAACCACTCAACTATCTTGTTGCACTCCCCTCTAGATAGGCGGCAGCCACAAGCACTTCCTCGTGCGGCAAGGTAAGTTTGCACTTAACGTAGATTGGCACAGACCTCAAACACGTGGCAAGGTCTTCGCCCCTCTTGTCCCCTGTAAAGGGTTTAGGAGTGGCGATGGTCGTCTTTGGTACCCACTGACTTTGTCCCAACACTTGTACCATTCCGTGTTGTGGACCCTGTGGTGCAGACTGCTGCACTTGCTGCTGCTCGGGCTGTGTACCCTGCGGCTGTGCAAGTTGCGAGACAACAAACTGCCCGCTTACGGCAACCTGCGACGAAGTTTGGGAAAACACTGTCTGTACAGGAATTTGTACACTAGGACCTGCCGAGAACCCGCCTGTTAAAGGCATTCCCAGGGAAACGGGCTGGACCGATGCTGGAGCTGTATATGGGGATACCCTAGTCACCGGTGGGACAAAAGGAGGAGGATGTACAATGGGCCAGGCACCTGGCCCGGACCGCGATGGTGCAGCCTGCACTCGCCCGACCAATACAGCCAGACTCTGTTGAATGTTATGAAGGAGGGTCGTCTGGTGGTCCCGCATTTCTACTACATCTAGCAGGACGGACCGCAGGGTCCTCACATCATCACTCATGAGCGTCGTGTGCATCTCCTCTAACTCACTAACGCCCGCTTGTCTCCACTGCATTCTGGCTCTTCTTCTAATCATTTTCTCTTTCTTTGCCTTAATCTCTCTTAACGCCTGTTATAGTTGTGCCTCGCGAATAGCTGCTCGTTGAGTGGCGACCTCCTCGGGAGTCAACACAAGAGGCTGGCTTACCATCACGCCAATGGATTGACTCTGGGTCTGCGCGACCGTTGACCCTACAGTTCCTGAACTGCTAACCTGGGAACTCTGCTGCGCAGCAGTTGCCATGGCTGCTGAAGCTGCGGCTTCGCTTGTGAATGCTTTGCTGGCCTCTGCTGCCCTAGCTCTCCGCTGCTGCTGCTGCCTCTCCCTTTGCTGACGAAACAGTACCATGTCGCCCTCTAGTCCTAATGCCAAGTGGGCTATCGGGCGTCTTGCTGATCGTAAGATCCTATCGTCCGGTGGTGGAACCTCCTTGTCGCTCATAGGCTACAACACTATACACTGCCTGCACTAGGACACTCAAGATGCCTACCGCAGCATAATGTACAGACCGATTTAAAATAAATAATATTAATAATCCGTGGTTGTGTCAGAGTAGATACATTTGGGTCTAACAAGTAAGTTCAGATTCCTACAAACGAAACCACTTTGACTTGGACTAGTTCGCAAACAGAAAGCACAATGAACAGAAAACAGTTCTAACTATGTTGTCTGTCAGATGTTAATGGTTGTACATCTAACTAATCAAAACAAAAATAGAATCATCTGTTGGGTCTGTTTGTAGAGTGGAATCTTTCCCAAACTTATCACCTGGAATCTACCCCTCCCTCAGTTCTTCTTGAATGTTTCTTATCGTCAACGTCCTTGAGCGATCCAGATTGTGTGCGTGTCTAAAGGTGTGCACATGGCCCACCCCTGTGCCCCGAGTCCTGCTGAGCTGGCCAGCCCTGCACAGTGTTTATCCTCACGTGCAGCAAGCCTTACACCGACCGATTGGCTGATCAGGAGGTGTTTATATGGACGCCCCCCGAAGTCCTCAGGAATTCTTTAACGTCGCAGACAGGACGACGATCACAACCAATGGAAGGTACCCCGCCGGTGCTTATTTATAGACGCCCGGTCTCGTCTGTCCCATAGGGCAGGCCTGCCCCTCATAACCCCTCTACAACGCAGCGAGCAGACAAAGGACAAAGCAGCAAAGCATGCGTGGTCCACTCCCGGTGGGTTGGCATGGTGACCGTGACCCAGTGCTTCGTCCAGGGCCCTTCAGATAGCACCACCCTCTCCTTCCAGATGCTCCACGTGAAGGTTGATGGCTCTCAAGGTTGAGCGCACACGACTCCTCACATGAGAGGACTCTCAAGACAGAACACACATCCTCACGGTAAGAAGTGTCCAAGAGGGTAGATAAGGTTAGGTGCAACGTACCTCAAAATAGCTGCCCCAACCACAAATATTCTCACCAGATGACCCGATGTTGACTGTGATGACCAATCACTGCTTCGGCACAACCAGCATTGCACAGCCGTTCCACCTCAGCACCAATCACACATTGGATAGTTCTCATCACACCGCGAACACCCAATATCACACCACATAGCCTTCCTGGCGAACCCCTCTCCACCTGGGCCGCCTTCTTATCTTCGCCCTCCTCACTACACACGTCCCACGGCACAGTCGCTCACCGCACACACCGTGTGCATGTACCGCATTAGGCAGAAGACAATCGCCAGATTAGCGCACCGACCCACAGCTCTGATACCAAATTGCAAGGAAGATGAGCGATAGCGAACTTCGGAAATCAAACAGCATCATACACATGAGACCAGATAGTCGTGACCTCCAACCAATAGCAGAATTGCATCACGAGTTTCACCAAATAAGAACACAGCAAGAGCTCATAATTGACAATGCTGGAATAGTCTCATCATCATCAACGAAGAACCAATTTCGATATCCTATCTGGCGCTCGACGCCCAGACTAAGAATGGCAGATCCTATCCAGCCTATCTACAATGCCGCTGATGACGTCAACAGCTCCCCGAAGTACGAGCAGATCTCGGACAATGCCGCACGCTTCAAGCACCAGGTATGCCTCTCGTATCACTCACAACCTCGTTCCCCAACTCACAGATGCCACATGCACCCAATGACCACCATGCGCCCCATCCAGCATACAGCAGCGCAGCTCGGCTATGGCTGCCTGCTCCTTCCAGCTCGCCCGCGAGCGCGTGAGCCTGGCCAGCGATAGCGCAGCAGTGCTTGCGCACAAAGCAGCCAGTGCCCGAATGTCGAATGCGTAGGCTGGCCCTCTCCTAAATGGAAGTGGCCAGCCTGCTTGCGTGCAGCCTGGCTGCGCTGGGCCCCTGCCCAGAAGCTTCCGGTAGGCCCAGGGAGGCTGAGCCTCAGACCAAACGAATCAGGCCCAGGGCCACCGTCAGTTACCCGTGCCCAACTGCCCGCTGTCTGAGTTGGGTCTATGCTGCGTATCTCGCCCAGGGCCTGACTTTGATACAGTCGGTAAAGGAGGCCAGGGCCTGGGCGCCTTCAACCGACTGGTGCTACGCAACCGCCTGAATTTCCCCCAGTTGTGAAGTAGTCCAAAATAGGCCTATTGTCGTCTGTCGAGCCTGCCTTCACTTAGGGCGGCCGACCTGTTGCAAATAGGGGCCCAGTAGGGCTTAACGAGGCCTATGCCTCGCAGTAAGCAGAGGAAGTGATTTTAATATTTTATCGTTTGCTTTCTCTCGTTTTTCTCTCTGAAATTCCGAATCCTCGTCTGCTTTCGGTTTCTTACATTTGCAACTTTGCATGTGTGGCGGAGCGAGTCTATTGGTGTATCTGCCTCTCTCCGTTCTCATGCGTAGGCAGTCTTGCCGGACTGTCCTTCTTTTTTTTTTTTTTTTTTTTTTTTTTTGTGTGTGTCCTTCTCTTCTCTTCTCTTCTTCAAATAGAGACCGCAATTTCACAAAACAATGCAGGCCATGAAAAGAAAAAAAAGAAACGACGCCCAGGGTCATGCAGCAATCACTCCTTGACACTGTGGTAGCACTTTGACCGAGGTAAAGTCAACAATTTGTTTTGCGCGTGAATTTCCTCGAACTTCCGAAGTTTTCTAGGATTTCTGCGGCTTTTATAGTAAACAAGTTCTTGTAAGTTGTAACAGGGTGTTGATTCCAAGTTAAAAAAAAAGTTAAAACTTAAAAGTTTACAAGTTTCGACCTTGAAGTTTAAAGGTTAAGTTTTCGTCGAACTTTTCGCTGTTTTATAATGAAAACACCCTCCTGTGCTAGTAGTGCTGGTACGAGCAGACACTACTAGCACCGGGGCGGTGGCTCCATCTATTGGTGGGTTTTGAGTTTTAGTCTTTAAGTTTTAAGTTTTGGGAGAAGGGATTGTGGGGCTGAGAAGTGGAATTTGAGGTCCTTCCGCACACACATGCACGCACCTGGAATCTCTCCATTTCCTGCATAAGCCTTTGCCGCTGAATTGACGATTCCACATTCGCTTGCTTTCTTCTCTCCTGCAATGCCGCTCGAGCTTCCAAAACCGCCCGTGCCCGTCCTGTTTCTTCCTTTATCCTTTCCAGCATCATCTTCCTCTTGAAAGCCTGAAGCCACGAGGACGGCGACGACGACGGGGACGACGACCACGGCAATGACGATCACGACGTGTTATGCAAGTTCAGTTAAGTGCAAGGCGATCTCGTGATGATCTTGCGGTCTCCTGGATGAAGAACAATCCTCCCTTCACAAAAAAAAAAAGAAAGACAAAAGCCTACTGTAAGAGGTGCACTTCCACATGCTTGCCGGTGGTAAGCCACCGAACTGTTACCCCACAGAGTCGAAGGGGTATTGTTGCTTAAAAAAAAAAAAAAAAAAGAGGTTAACTTAGTTCACTACCCATCTTCTAAAAATAGTTTGTTACAGACGTGCATCACTCGCAAGAGTCGCACGGTTTTTTCAGTTTGTTTCTTTGTGCCAGCTCTTGGCAATGTTTGTCGCCCCCTCACGGCCCTCACACTGATTCCCTATTATTATTATTAGCTTAAGGATAAGGACAACACAGCTGCTCATACAAAGGGGCAAGCTGCTGCAGACAGGTCGGATTCCAGTCCTTGCCCAGGTTTGCAGTTTGGTCTGTGCTGCAGATACCCCGTCGACCAGAATATCCAGGCTTCTTCTTTTTTGTTAATTTTGACCAATTCTCTATTTAATATTTATGCATGTCATCCTTGTGCAGAGGCCATGCTAATCTTCTTTATCTGTATTGTTCCAATTATAATGGATGCCCTGAAGGACACTATCCAGGCTATATAAGATATGGATGTATGTGCAATCAGCCCAGTCTGGAGGAAAGTTCAATAATGTCGAAGTACAGAATGTCTCAACGCAGTTTCAATGTCTCCAATCATACATGCAATCAAGAGTCCAATGTCAAGTAACCAGAGAAGAGAGTGATGAGAGGGAGATTAGACTGAGAGGGTAGAAGAGAAAGTAACCATCAGCTTCAGCGGATAGATCTCCCTCCTTGGCCCACTCCTCCTTCGGGCATCTCCCACTCGCCACGTCAGCAGACAGTCCCCTCTGACACACACTGACATTGAACAGATCTCAACATGGCGCACACGGTGCAGACTCCTTCTGAAGACAACAGCAGAGCGCAATGTCGACATGGTCGTGAACAGGTAAGCTCTCCCCTCCACAATTGAGCAATCTCACAGCCACGATCCTCCTCCTCCTTGCCAATATCCCATCAATGTAGTAGACAGCGTGGCGAAAGCCACGACAGCATAATCAAGAAGAGGGCTGGCGCCAAAGACAGAAAGTGGCGTCAGCGCAGTCGCAGTCTCGCGTCCTCATCCAATATCAAGCCAGCACCCAGCCAGCATCTAGCCAGTGTTGAGCTAGCGTCGAGCCAGCGTCAAGCATCAAGAGCAAGACTGAATGTCGGTCAGCAGGGGCTGGGTCAACTTATAGTTGACTCGAGGTCGACCAGCCTCTGGTCTCTCGGATACGATGGCCCAGATTGACCCACAGTCAATGGCCTGGATCTCATACAGTAGCAGATTCCTGCGCTGTGCGCTCGAATGACAGCGCGCGCACTGTGCGCCGTGCGCGCGCTGAGGGAGGTGCGCTATGTGCACGATATTAAAAAAAATAAAATAAAAAAAATACAGACAGGGCCCGAGAGAGAGAGAGAGAGAGAGAGAGAGAGAGAGAGAGAGAGAGAGAGAGAGAGAGAGAGAGAGAGAGAGAGAGGATCCCCTTTATGTCAATTCGAGAGCCCCTGCAGGTACCACGAATGGCTCCTACAACGCATGGGGAGCTATTGAGGGCCGCTGCTTTACTGAGAAGGATGGCCTCGTCATGCACGAAACACATGGGGGCAGACCAGCAATATACGCTGCGGATTCGAGTTCAGGGCTGTAGCGCGGCAGTTATGGGTCACCAGTTCAGCTAGACCCTGTTCGTGTCTCCACGCGATTCTCAGGGCCTCCCTCCACCACTCACCAAATGTATATAATATTAGTAGAATGAATCTTCTGCTAAAACATGGAACCATACACCGCCATATGCTATGTACTCACCAAATGTATATAATATTAGTAGAATGAATCTTCTGCTAAAACATGGAACCATACACCGCCATATGCTATGTCTTTTGTGCATTTGGTGAGTAGTGGAGCAGGCCCCATTGGACGTATTCTTAAGAAAACAAAAACAAGAAAACGAGAGAGCCACAGGCGTCTTCATCCTAACCCATACCTGCCGACATGCAGACCTGAACGCCAATCTTCAGCGATATATTGGTGGTCGGCTGGCCCTAGAAAACGCAACTTGTGATCTCTGTGAAGATTCGTGGGGCAGGTCGTTATCAGGCGACTGCCCCTCTTTGTGAACTTACCCCACCACTGTGTGGGATCTGCAGAAGGGAGCGGGAAGAATATCTTTCATACCCCGCCTAAAAAAAAAGATGGAATGAGCCCTATTTTTTAAGTATTTTATGCTTCGCCATTCTGAAACTTTTGGGGGAAGGGCCTGCGGAAATTGAAATTTGGCAGCCCTTACCCAAAAGAAAATTTTGAGCTTGGGGCGCGGCCGGCATCTGAACTCACGTGGTGAGTTTAACATTTTTGCCGAGTTGGGGCCCCTAAGAAATTACAAAACACCTACTCTCTTTTTTTTTGTGGACCTAATTTTTCCAGTGCGCTGCGCTTCGGTACGCTTTGCGGTGCGCTGCGCGCGGTGCGCAATTCGTGCGCAAATCCGCGCACCGAGGTGCGCCGCAACTATGAGATTCCCACTTGGACTGGATTCTTGATAGGTACCTGCAAACAGCCAATGTGTGTGTCTGATCGGTGGCCTGGGCTGGGTCCATGTTGACTTTGACTCGTGAGCCTGAATTTCCGAGCTGCTGTTGACCTTTGACTTTCCACGGTCACACGCAGAAGCCCAGTTTCGAGGCCATGCTTCGGGTACCCACAGCAGCAGGCCTTGTTTCAAGCTATTTCCAAGACTCGGGTGCGACCGATGGCCCCCAATTCGGCCCTTAGTCCGAAATGACGAACTATGGCTCACGACAATTGCATGGTACGAGCCGAGTTATTGCATATGCATGAACTTTTATGATTACAAGCGGACCCCCCGCAGCTACGCTGCGGCGCAGAGGAGGGGGCGGAGGGCGGGACGGAAGCGCCGTTTTTGTCGCGGCACAGTAATTCCTTGTGCGGATTGCACAGTATTCGCAAGCGAGTTCAGGATGTTGTCGTGTTCCAGTGATTGGAATGGTTGATGATATGCAAAGAGTGTGAAGAGATAGTATGTGAAAGTCTTCAGTACGGTGGATGCACTGTTCTTGTATGCAGCAAAAGTTGGAAAAGTAAAGATAAACTGAATTGCAAAATCAAGCACCAAAAATGTCAATGCATTGAAACGAAACAATAGAAGTAAAATTTCAAATAACTTAAATGAAATCAATTGGAAGATTTTCAACCATTATTATTCCACTTACATCTGGATTTTTGGGTTTGTTTTTTTTTTTCTTTTTTTTTCTGGGACATTCGTTGATCCTTACACAGCCTGGATTTTCTGGGACATTCGTTATCCCGATCCCAATCACGGCCGATCTTCCCTGATTTGCATATTATCAGCCACTGCTATTCCGATCCTAATAACGAGAATCTTCCCTTCTTCCTGCTCGGCCTGGCTAATGAATCTGTAGAGAAGCATATGTGTGTCAGCTTAGCCATGTCCATTGATATTCCGCTTCCCCCAATACCATTCCGACGCTCTCCCACTACTACCACGATTCCCTCACTGTTGTGTTGATCCCGATTGGTCCCTCAGCACATATGATATGCATACAACGAGAAATACTAAAAAAAAAAAAAAAAAAAAATCTCTTCCTTTCGCTCTCCCAAAAGCCAAGCGCAAATCATTCGACGAAAAGTGAATGGATGAGAGATTGGAAAATGGCGGGGTTTGGGGGGAGTAGAGAAGGCGGAGGAAGCGGTTGAAAAGGACAATGACACGAGAGGGGGAGTCTGACGTGGACGCTGGAAAACGACGATCAAGGTAATGATGACGATGATCAGGCATACGACAGGAGGAGGGAAGAGGAGAAAAGGAGGATGGAGGCAAGAGGTGACTGGAGCAAGGAGTAGCGGGAGGAAGAGCAGCGGGGGTGGAAGGAGGAGTGGAAGCAGGGCGATGAGGAGAGGACAGGGAATGGCAGGAGGAGGACCAGGAGAAGGAGGATTGGGAGCGGGAGGAAGAGGAGGAGGAGGAGGAGGAGGAGGAGATGAGGAAGCGGATAAAGAGGAGGACGTGTAGGAGGAGGAGGATAGAGCGAAGACGAGATCATAGCAAGGAATAGAGGAGAAGTGGGGGGACGAAAAAGAGGGGCGGGGGACGAGGAGGAGAGAGAGTGGCAGGAAGGGCGGGAATGGGAGTGGGAGCTGGAAGAGTGTGAATGCTAGGAGAATCGGGAAGAGGAGGAACGGGAGGCGGAGTGGGAGGAAGAAGATGAGGAAGAAGACGAGAAGCGGGAAGGAAGGAAAGAAGGAACGAAAAAAGGTAGGAGGAGGAGGAAGGAGGACAAGAAGAATGTAAGGAAGAAAGACGAGGAAGGGAAAGAAGGAAGGAGGAAAGGGAGTAAGGAATTGGTGGAGTGAAAGAGTCAGTGAAAAAGCGAGGATGATTTATCGGATTGCTGATGCGTCACAGTTCTATGTGCTCACTGGAGCGGGAATAAA